AAGCACTCCGGAGCTAGCCATCTTACTGGCAAGTACTGTGTAGCAAGGGAGTTTCCCGAAACCTTTGGATCATCGGGATCAGAGCAGAATCCGAAGCCGGAAATCTGTAGCGCACAAGTGGTGAAGTACGAAGATAGGTGGAAAGAAAGTGAACTAAACGCAAATAAGGTACCTTAGCTCTCAATCCGGTGGTAAGGAGCACATTTCGAGCAGCCAAATCTCGATGAATGAGATTGCGAGAATGAATATAACTCTAAATGACCCATTTTAACTAGGAATCTCGGCAGTTAAGAGATGTTTTGAGCAGATATTCTTTGTGCAGCTGTCTGAGGCAACATGACTATATCGGCCAAGGAGCGATTATCAATGGAATTTAAACTCACGATTCCATCACAAATCTCCCAAATAATCTTGAAAAGCATCTGATAAGGTATGTAGGTGGTAGATCTCGCATCGCCGTTTGAAACCCTGGAAAGAGATCCTAAAGCATCGCAGCGTCATCGCTTCCAAACCAATACGTGAGGTGGACAAATCATACAGAGCCTAAAGCCTCTGATTTCACAATGGAATCGTGTTTTTTAATAACTTCCTGAAATGCCTCCTCTTCATCGTTCAAGCGAAAAAGAGCAGTGATTTGAACCCTGTCAACTAGGAACTGTTCCATTCCCTGTGAGCTTGCAGAAACAAAAAGGTACTCTAACTTATAGGTTCTGGTTTTACCTCCTTATGGAACCAGAAAAGTATTGGGCGGACTGATTCCGCGGCTACCTATTTTATGATAGCTACTGTACGGTGATCACGACGAATTTCTAACTCACTACTGCAAGAACACTACAAGAACACTCACGTTTCACTGATTTGTCCCAAATACTTGAGTAAATTCATATGCGTCAACTCGAGTAGACTGCATACCAAATCGTTTTTGTTGGTCCATCCTGAAGTTCAAATTATGCGTTGTATAGTACTTTCTCCTGGGTACTTTACTGCTGGGTGCACAACATTTTGCACTTATTCTTATACTTTAGCGGATCACATACTTCACAATAATGAAGTGACAAACTCGTAGGCTTAATTTTTTGCATAACTTCGAAAAAGTCCCCGAATTTAGCGAACGCACCGAGAAAGAGGGCAATGTGATCGTGGTGGCGAAGCCTTCTCATCGAAGAAATCTCACGGAATAGTTGATCTTCTTCGAGCTCGTCAAAATGTCGTGGTACCCAAAAAAAAAGGTTAAATAAATAAAACAGGGCAGCTCACTGGAAAGGCTGTTAATCCTTCAAGGGAAGAAAACTGTATTAGAGCTTACTTACTCGTACTGCGACCGGGCAATCCTGATACTGCTTCATTTCTACACGGCCAATCCACTGCAGTATCGGCGATTTTCCTTTCAGCCTACCTTAACAAAAAGAAATTCTACAATGCATTCTCCCCCACCCTCGTTCTTCTAGAGTACAGTGATAGGTAATGTCATCTGGCAGTTGACTGGCAAGTTTCAGAAGATAGACAGCGACGGACACCCCATCAGCTGCCTCCTTCCAGCCCTGTGTTGTTTATCTATATGAAGTGCTCATGTTTGTAACCTTCATAGAAAGTTAAAATTGGTATCGAGAGTACAAGTAACGAGCAGGCCAAATCGCCATTAATCACGACACAGCCAGACTATGCAAGGCGAGCTTGTGTCGAAACGGCTGCAGAACCTATGGCTCATTAATAATCCCCCGATATGCTTGCGGCTCTAGCCTCCCTTGTACTGGCTGTTCAGCCACTTCTAGTGTCACACGAATTAAAAAAAGGTTTAAGACACAGACACAGACCATTGCCAGTATATCAACTCTTCAATACCCAGCCCTTCCTTTCAAAGGGCTGCCTGAGAAGCTGCCTGACGAGGCATGGTACGTACATGCGATCTCAAGGTCTGCTTTTTTTGAGATTGTTGAGAATAAAATAACTTCGAAAGGTTACGAAAGTTTTACACGAAGACTAGTTCGTGGAAGCCGATTCTGGGCCTTAAAAAGCAATCAATGTCAGATAAAAGTAGAAAATTGTTTTTACCCAAGTAAACGTTTGATATAGTGCCTTCTCCGAGTAGGAACTCTGTATCAATGTGAACACGGTCTGATTTGATTTCCCAAGGCAGTCGTGCAACTTTCGGGCATTCCTTTGCCTTCCTGAATGAGGAAATGTTTGCATCTCCTTTTGACTTCATTTCTTAGAAACAAAGTGATATCGAGTTAATAGACGTTCTTTTTTTTTCTCTTTTATTCGGATGTCGTTGCTAACCGAAAGGGACGATGATGGGGATCGGAAGGGGGATGGAACCACAGTAAAGCTCTCACCTTCGCCGAGTAAATGACAACATTAGCTTAATTGTAAGATCCAGTTATAATGCACTGTAGCAATAACATTTAGGCATATTTTATCCTTGTGACGCATTTAGGACGGATCGACGATCGAATCCTTTCGAAACAACCCCTTCCGAACTTGTATGGTGATTCGACGCAATGTTACGCAATTTTTTTAAGGGACCAAATTTTTTCACGTCAGAAAATAACAATATCAGTCTCAGAAATGAGCAATATAACTCAGAAAACAACTAGTACATCCAGGGAATTCTCTCGCCCCTGGGCCATTCGGTTTATCAGTATTTGATTTAAAGGCACAGTTCACGATAGTTCAATGGGAGAGAACCTCATTGGTTTTCCCGCCTCTCGATCGATGTCACGTCATCACGTCAGACGAGTGTCGAGACAATACAGGTTGCAACTATTCGTTCTAGGACCCTCACACAATCAGCTGGTCATTCATCCCTCATTTAATTTTTTACTCCTAGAGGCTGAAAAAGGTGAGCTACTTTTGCTGAAACTAGGGTTTTTTGTTTATTCATGCTTATAAGTAAATGAATTTTTGCTTACCATAGTCTGTTATTCGTACCAAGACTCAGACGCACGCAGTGAGATACATTGTGTAGCTCGTCCAAACGCCCCACTCTTCTTCATTTTTCTGGTCTCATTCTTGTCCGGCCCCCAATTTAACGGTTTTTCGAAGCCCTTTTCCACATTGAGAACACCTATTCACGCAGTTTCTCCACCTCAGTCGCACTATTTCCGATCTTGCCTTTCATTTTTCATCATAATCTGGATTACTCAAAATTATCAGTGAACTGTGCCTTTGAGTCTTCTGCTGAATTTTTTCATTCGTCGCGGTGAGCACTCATTTTGACTTACCAGTTCACGTTGTACAAGGTCTACTGATTTCATAGGTCTATTCTAAATTCGATCAGTTGACTGCAGAATCAATCTCATCGTGCACCAGTGATCTTTTGCGAGAGCCTTTGCCGTGTTGCTCGTTTTTTGTCAACCAGTCGGTCCGCCCGGCTAATGCAGGGCTTCCCTCCTTCTTATGGGTTCGCCCGGCTATGCCGGGCGCTCCTCCTTCTTGTGAGAAATTTGTCATGCGTAAATAACACTTCGGATCCCACTTTTTTCTTTGAGAGCTCTACACCCTCAGTGTTGGCTCCGTATTGGG